CTCCTCTAGTGTTATTTATAATCTCTATGACCCCAGTGGCCATTGTCTCATGGCAAGTGAATTTTATTCACGGCAACTAATTTTCATATCCAACTTGGCAAGTTGAACTTGCCCTGATGACAAATGGTCAAAAAAGTAAAGTTATACCACTGACTACTGAGTAAGGTATATATGAGCTACAGTATCATGGTTATAAAAACTCTGGAATAAGGTATGCGGTTATTTTCAAAAAATTTACATTATCACTCATCAATATGTCTGCAGGTTGTTGAAGAAGATCGGAGGAGCCTCAATCAATCCAAAGAAGCAGAAGAAAGTGCATACATGAGGAATTGTGAAAAGCAGCAGCTGATTGACCAATTGGACCCACTTATTTACTATCATGGCATTTCAAAAGGAGTTATGAAGCCACCACATGAACAGTGATCTGGTAATTAAATGATATCATTTTGTTTTTTTATTAATTAGAGTACCGGTACCAACATTGGATTCATTAGAATTTAGCACCGACATTAGGTGTCGTTAATAGAAAATAATAAATGAAAATTGCATTTTGGTTTATGCTGTACCGGTAACTAATAAATGATATGAAAAATCAAAATTGCATTTTTAGCTCTCAAAATATCACAATGCTTTTATTAAAAATGTACCGGTAACTTAATTAATATTATTTTTTATGTATGTAATTTTACAGAAAGTACTTCACCTAATGAAGAACATTTAATTCACTCTTCAAATCAAAAAGTCAACTTGCTAAGAGCAAACTGGACATCATAAACTTTGTTGAGGTGAGGTTATAGTTTCATTTTATAAAATTCATTTAGTAAGGCCTGAATCAAATTTAGTGTACACTGTACATATACATCTTCTTAGTTTTGAGCTTTCCTATAGTTGAGATAAAGTTAATATGGGCTAACAAAAACTATCTGCCAGTGTCTCTTGTTCCATCCATCATAGTATTTCGCTCTGTCTATAACCCCAGGGGATAGCTTGTTCAGGGGTGGTAAAAGTATCGGACCACGGGACCATTGGTCCCAGAAATTTTTTTGAGTTCCCAGAAAATATTTCCCCAAGAAAGAAAAAATTGTAATAATTCAGATAAAAGGAGAAATTCAGAGGAAAATTAACACCATAACCTCAGAAATGCAATTATAAGTGCAACCATCTTAATAGTGCGATAGTTTTGCGATATAAATGTATTAGACTATAGAATGATGTAACAATTGTTGTATGGCAAATGCATTTTTAGCCAATCTGGGACACTTGATTTCAAAATTTTCTGGGAGAGCATGGATCTACCTGATAGTGCCCCCCAGTGCTAATTTTGCATCTGTATTTACTTTAGGATCAGACCCTTGATGCATGTTATCTATATTAGCTTTATGTTATATTTTAAGATTCTCAATGCACTGAAATATTTTTTTCTGTAAATATACATGTAGCATGACATCCAGTTTGACAACTTATTAGGTGTCACACAGTTACATTGGCCGAGTGTCGATTTACTTGATCATTTGCAGAAAATGTTTCAATGAACTTTTTGCGGTCCCAGAAAGTAAAATATTTTTTCCACCCCTGAGCTTGTTAGTGAAAACATAAGCTGTTAATTAATGAGGGTTGTGTAGTTGTTACCAAAACTATTTTTGTGTTTTTTTTTCCTTAAAAGGAAGGAGACACAGACTTGACTACCTGGCTGCAAATGAGACCCAATGACATACTGTATCAGGGCTGATCATGACATGGAGCTATTGGCAACATTCGAGAATAGCGAAACTGTAAAAGCCATCTTTACTTCCTGCCGTTGTTCTACTGTACCTGCTCGACTTAGACTACCCATCCAGACTCAGCAGTCTGAAATGGTAAAGGCTTTTCAAGAAATTGAACAATATTGCTACGTGTGAGAACTTTTACATTTATCTATCAGTAATTACTTTAATAACCTATTCATGTATAGCTGGTAAATATATTATTTTAAACATTCTTAATTGTTTTTATATTGTAGGATGACAACAGCAAAAAATCATGCCAAGATTATTATTCTAGTTTCATATTGTCATTTAAGAAAAATATTCTTAAAAGCCATGCACACCGGATCGAACTAGAATAATTTTCTTAGCAGGATTTCAATTCAAGATAATTTTTCTAATTTTGTCCCATGGGTAAGTAAAATTTTCTTATTAAGATTATTTTTCTTATTTCAAGAAAACGTTCTAGCAAAATTTTCTTATTACTAGAAAATAATTCTTGGGAAACTAAGAATTTTTTTATAGAAATAAGAAAATTTTGCTAGAACGTTTTCTTGAAATAAGAAAAATATTCTTGATAAGAAAATTTTACTTACCCACGGGACAAAATTAGAAAAATTTTCTTACCAAGAATTTTGTTCTAACCAAGAATTTTGTTCTAACCAAGATTAATTTTCTTATTTTAAGAAAAATTTTCTTGAAATCTGATTCTTACCTAGAATATTTTACTTACCCACGGGACAAGTAAAATTTTCTTAAAACAAGTAATTTTGTGCTCAAAATAAGTAATATTTTCTTAAAACAAGAAATTGATTTTTTGCAGTGCGTATACTACCTATAAGGGTTGTATAAGTATAAACAACTCGCATCTTATATTGCCATTTTGTTGTAACTGTAAAATTTTACTCCGGAGCACAGGCATGCAGAAAGAGACTATGCATGGTTCTTAATTCTTTAATGTTTATATTAAATAACGATGGCAGTTAATGTCATGATCACAGACGCGTACAGCCACAGGCTCTTGACAACAGGCGAATCTTACTGCATTTATATCAAGACCTGATTAAATTATTATGTAAGACGTACTTAGTTATTGTTATTTTGTCTTGAATATTAAGCCCTTCAACCCAAGCATATGCGTAAGCATCTGATCAAACGCTATATACACTGTCAAAATATCAATGTAGTAAACAAAGTAGTTAAATGTAGTTCTATAAATAGCGCTGTACAGCCTATACATTTCAATCACGCAACACAAATATTTTAGCGATTGTGATTTGTTCTAGAAAACTAACGGCACTGTATGTGCTGCCTCTGATGTGCTGTTTTAGCATGAACATATTTGATTTTTAAATTGGGCGATTGATTTTAAATTAAGGAAATTGAAGGCTCATGCTTTATATTTTCTAACGATCGATATAGTCATGTTTATTCAATATAGTCTGCATATTTATATATGCCAAGTCTGCAATTTCACTAAGCAACTTTATATACATTGTATTCTGCATTTTATACATTTTCTGCCGTCTACACTATAGTTTATACTGACTGTAAAGTCTGTATGCTATTTGTCATTATAAAACTCATTAATATAATTCATGAAGAAAATACAAAAGAAACGAATGTTTAATCATTGTTTGTAAATCGCATAAAGATTTGTCCTGATTAATACATAAACTTCAGCTTTGATTTTCTCGGTTTAGACAATACATGTTTATTTTTAAATTACTTCGCCAATGAACTCATAAGATGGGTCGTTTTATAAGTACGATAAAACATTCGCATCTCGCCTTCGGCTCGAGTTTGTATATCAGATAAAAAATCTCTAGTATACTTATGTTCCGTTAGTATGTGTGGTAAAATTATATTTCTGGAAATGTAAACAGCATACTAAAGTAATCAATTAAAATTCTGTTGTATATACAGACTATAAAACATTAAAAGTATAATAATACAGACCATGCATGCACGATAAAGGGTGGATGTGGGGCCTATATATGGACCCCTTATAGTGTGCACACCCCTTATAGTGCTTTCTGGTCAGTTGTCATATCAACTTTGCACTATCCTTGGGATCTCTGAGTCTATGTATATAGCTTCTTTAGGTACTTATAATGTAGAACAATAAAAAAATTCTCGAACTCAGCAATATGCAAATTAGGTACAGGCATTAATCCCCGAGCCGGCCGGGTATGTGAAAACATAACTGAGTGCAAAGTAAGTTGTCCTCCATTTTGTTTATGTCATGGACGGTTTTCGACGTTATGCGCATGCGCGAGTACAAGCTTTGTCCAAGTAATTGTTTTTCATTTTGAAAGGACGTATGTTGCTGTTTTACAGCAATTTTTGGTTTTAAATTTCGTTAAAAAGTTTACAAAAGTACAACACGGTTTTTACTTTTTAACTGGAAATAAGCTTGCAGTTTCATGAATTAGTGACTGTTCAACCGTGAAACAAAGTTTGTATAAGAATTGTTTTGATGTTGATGTCTTTGATAATTTAATAGTTGTTGTGCGGGTTTGGGTCAGTGTAAACATTTCAGTGGTAAAATGCCATGCCGTACCGTTGCTTTGTGTTGTCGGTTTTATTCATATCTGCGAAATTTTTAAGCCATTATTAACTGGATAGTCACTGTAATGCAAGCTGGTATGCATGAAATTGCAGTAAATGTTATCGTTCATTATAAAGCTAGCGCATCAGTTGTGTTTTTATGTTTGTTTATAAAGATCTTAATACTTTATGAGGAGTTTTTATACTTCAACTGTTAAGAAAGGCGAGGGGTTGCTGCATGCATGTATTTTCTAGTTAGGCATGCGAAAGGCTGATTTTTTAGAGAAAAATGAATATTTAAAGGCTTAAACTAAAGCAAATTGACTGAACTTTTGTACAGTAATTAAAAACCCAACAAATTTTCCATCTATCAACTCGCAATATATGATTAAAGCTTTTAAATTTTGTGCGCAAGCCATTTTTAGTTTGTTGGAAAAGACACCCCCTCCCCCCCCCTGGTTTACAAAATTTGAGTTCGAGAATTTTTTTTATTATTCTACATTCTAAGTATCCAAAGAAACTATATATATATCAAAAACCGGATACTATAATAGCTGTTTTGCGAAATTGAGAGCAATTTCAAATCTGTTCAGTTTTTTTATACACCGTGTATTTACCTATTATTTACCTAGTTATCTATTTTACTGTAATTTGTTTATATATTCAGACAATTAAAATAACTCTTTATTATTATTATCCTAGGGTACTGTCTGGTAATCCCCTGGCATGTGGCTGTAATGTATTCAACTCGGTTGTTAACGTTATCGAATCAGTAAAACCCGCAGCCACATGTAACGAACCATCTCGAGTACGTGGTGTTACTTTCCCTCAAAATTACCAAAACTATAATAGAAGAGATTTTACCTGTGGTAAGTGGGCAGTTAACCTGGTAAAAAAGAAGAATTTCTTATTCCTCGATACTTTTTGGAATATTTTATTATTTTCCCCCAATTTTTCGCGGACAAGTGGCTCCCATCACTAAACATATTTTGCAAAGTAGTTTACTAGTTTTCTCATGAGTCAAATGATTTTGAAAAATACAGTACACTGCTAGTTCAAAACGTTAATACTTTTAAATCTTTTAAATCTAGGCTCTCTGACATGGCCGTAGGTATAAATATTAAGTTAGTATATAGCTCATATATATATATATATATATATATATATATATATATATATATATATATATATATATATATATATATATATATATATATATATATATATATTATTATATTATTATATTAGGGATGAGCCGATACCAGAAAAAAGCCGATTCGCCGATCCAATATAAAAAAATAATCGGCTATGGCCGATATTTCTGTGTACCGGGGTACAAGCGCCGGATAACGGTTTTTTGACAACTTTTAATGCTTGTATATACGCCACAAATTGACGTACTAGTTTTAGTGTGTTCCGGAAAATATTTACTCATATTGGACAGTTATCGGTCACTGTACGAGTCAAATGAATTAATGGATATGGGATTAAATATGCACAACAAAAGTGTCAAAAACAAGACGGAGTGTAGATTACTAGATTATAGAGTTATTTTTCTTAAAAAAACGAAAAAATTGCGAATATCGGCAAATAGCCGATTATAAAAAATATTTTGAAAACGCCAAATATCGGCCGATTTATCGGCCGTACCGATTAATCGGCTCATCCCTAATATAAAATAATCAATATAAATATATATATATATATAAAACAATCGAAAGGGAAATCGCCAAAGATCTTTAAGAACTCTTTTCCTCAACAAGGTTTTTATCCACCGAAAATGGCCACACTTTTTCTCATACGATCAGTAAAGACGCGGATGAGTTAAATAGTTTGGAGCTGTTCAATTTTTTAGCGCCAGTTAACTTAAACGCCTCCACACCTGGAGATTTTCAACTGCGCGTTGACTGGGAACCGACTGTGTACACGTATCCTGTCGAATTCTTCAATGACACTAACGGAACTTTCGGAGTGCTTTCTGACAATACCACGCCTCTTAATCTTACCTATATTGTCACGTGTCACGATCCAGCCAATCAAGTCGTGGAAGGAACAACGAATTATACGTGGATTGTTTTCGACAAAAGTCATGGTATTTTGCCGGGGCGTGATTATCGGTGTTCTGTGCAGACTGTTGAGGTTGTCTTGAATGCGAGTGCACACGTGGTATCAAGGACAAGTGTGGATAGTCAGATGGTTTTACAGACTACTATTGAAGAAAAAGGTATAGGGCAGGTCTGGATATACTAATAAGGATAATTACCCAGAGTTCTCCGCTACTACACGACGAAAAGCGAAGCCTTTACAGTAACAGGCAGAAAATCGATGGGAAATGATACCAGTCAATTTTTAATCAGAATACCAATGGCTACGTTCTTTTCGCAGCCATTGGATTTTTTTGCGATTGTTTTAAGACTTGGTCATATCAAAAGGGCCAACGAGAGATTGCGCTGGCAAAACGTTTCCAGGCCCCCCCTATGACATCATAATTCTAACACGGGAAAAGCCGTGTTTTACAATGGAGAGTTTAAGCTTCGCGTTATACGTCAAACGGCAAACGCTAGGCAAAGAAAAATTTTACGGTATCAGGCAATAAAGAGTAAATAAACTTGCTGTTTTAAAACTGAAATACATAATTATTCTTTCGATACAAAAAACAAAATATGAAACGAAAACGTTCAACGAAACTTTTGCCAAGAAAGGTCGAACCTGCCATTTGCCGTTCCGGAAACGAGAAGCTTAAACTTCGTAATATATTACACTTTATTGCATATTATCCAGCACTGACGCAGCTAAGTAGTTGTTTATCTCATGGACATTTATCCGTTCCATGCAGGCCTCCGTTGGAGCAAACAGTCATTACTCGGCCGAACGATTATTCTAAGAAGGGGCTGACACAAGGTTGAGAAATGTCTTAATTACCACAGGGAGGACAGGAGCTAGGGAAATATGCATCATCAAAGTGGTCTGTTAAGATGCTTCCCATTTGATTTGTTCGAACTTTATTGATATCGTAACTTGCGATAACTCACATCAGAGTTTGTTTTTCCTCAGTAGAGTTTTATTATATTTCTTTTTCCTACACATAACACAGTTCTACACAAGCGTAGAATAAAATAACGGTAACTAAGAATAAGAAGAATTGACTATATGAGTGAATACCTTACAGTATGTTTGTAATAAAACATATTACCTTCGTTCTATTTTATATATGCTGCCCTAAACTAGAATGGTTGTTTGTAGAAATGTGAGTTTTTCAAACTTGTAAATTGTAGTGAGTATATAGATAAGAGCCAGAATATAGAATAAATATTGATATATTTCCAATCTTTCTTATAGCGCCAGTAATTAATACTACTACCAACACTTCAAACTTTTATTTGGACATCACATACTATGATTTCAGGTACGTTGATGCTTGATTTGTGAACTATATATTCTAAAATAACTGTTTCAGCTCCGTTTAATAGAATGAATCGCTCCAGTTCATATATAGAGCAAAATCGTTGTACTCGAAAAAAACTACTTTTTTCACGTGCAACTGATCTGAGGTAAAATTACATCCAGGCAATCTCATATTGTAGGCATTGAATCCAGTCACAGATGTAACTCCCCACTATTACCTTCTGCATGAAAAGCCAATTAAATGTTTACAATATAGCTATAAAGCCATATTTTATCATTGTGAAATCGACTTTGTGTTATTTTTCCCCAATTACAGAGCCTCGGAGGCGGAATTCGTTAGCGTAAAATATGTCGGAATTTTGCCTAACCCAAAATACATTGCAAGCCCATTTGAGAGCTGGTTATCTCACGATGGTCATCCGGAGTATTCTGACTGGTTTCGAAGTGATTCCGCAAGAAACCGGCACTACACGGAGTCTATCGAACTATCAAGCACGCACGATGTGGATAAAAATAGAAATCGTGTGTATCGGTATTTTTCGACAGAATTTTATCCCGTCAATGGTCGGGGGTTTGGGGCAGAGGGACAACGAGATTGCGTGACCAATGCTTTGACAAATTTTGGGTGAGTATATAATAGACCCTTCCAGAAAGTACTTAGCATTGGCTATCGGCTTATATCTCAAATCACGAATACGAGGCTCTATAGCCAAGGCTGACTACCTTCCGGAAAGGTGTATTTGCCGTTGTTAAAACTTGTTACAGTTTTTACAACCAAAAACCAATTTTTTATTTAAGTGTGGGAGCCAGTGCAGGTAGCGAAGAGTACAAACTGCTAATTTGGTAGTTTTCAAGTCGTTGTGTTTGCAAAGTTTCCCCATGGGCGCACATCCAAGATTTGTAGGGTTGTTGTTTTTTTGGGGGGGAGGGGTGATGTCGTCTGTTCTGGGACCGACTTTCCTAATGTTTGCAAATGGCGGCCTGTAGAGATGGCAAACATTACAATTTACAAACTCTCATTTCTAAGTGGCTTTTAAGCTACAATACAAAAACAAAGAATATATATTTTTGCATCCCAGTTTGTTTGGAAATGAACCAAATGAATGTTTGGAACGCAGCCTAGTCCCAGGCTCTTTCTCTGTACGCTGCTTTGATATATTTAAATAAGTTTTAAAAGTTTTATGCCTGGGTGTGCTGTGCGGAACGCTTCAGCGAGAGAGCCTAGCAGATTTCGGTAAAATGGTCCCTGATTTCAAAAAAGTGGTCCCTGGCCTGGTTACCAAGCATACCGCATTGTAAATAGAACTGATGTTATGTTTGCGATGTTACTCTGAGTGCATATCCACACCGGGCGAGCTTGAAAAATATGCCCGGCCACGGTGGGATTCGAACCTACGACCTTTGGAATACTAGCCCAATGCTCTTCCAACTGAGCTACGCGGTCAGGACGGTTCGAGTAAGTGATATTTCGGAACAGTATCTAGTTCCATCAATACCAATGTGTTCTAGTAATATGAATTTTTCTGTGTTGGTGTTGTGTACTCAGGTGAATAATATGTTTGCGATGTTACTCTGAGTGCATATCCACACCGGGCGAGCTTGAAAAATATGCCCG